TAGCCTTGAGCGGATCCCACAGCCAGCCAGGGCCGGTGGGAAGCTTGGCTTCTTCCATCGCCAGGGGCAACCCAAGCCTCCTGTTTGCTCCAGCTCTGTGGGTGCTGCCATCTTGGTTGGGTTTATTTGCATACTCGCTCCTGATTGGCTGGTGGGCGTGCTTATGGGCATGGCTTGTGCATGTAGTGGAAGTATGGTCAATTTGCATGTTTCTCTTTTATTAGATAAGATATATGTATAGAGAAAATATGGTAAGAATTTCATGGTAGAGAAAGGAGAGCTGTAGATTGCAATCATATACTACTATTATTTATCCTAAAATATAATTTGATTATGAGTAACTGAAGCAAGAACTAACAGTATTTAAACCTCCTCTTTAGTTCCTGTGCAAACTGGTCTGTGTGACACTCACAATGTTTTCTGTTTTCCTCAGCATCGGTGCCCTGATTGGATTGGGAATTGCTGCCCTTGTTTTACTTGCCTTTGTCATCAGCGTCTGTGTCCTTTGCTATCTATTTCTGCATACAAAGCCTCAAAGGTTAGACACTGGCCTTAAACTTCAACACCTAGAGGCTTCTTCCATTCAAGAAGGTAATTAGTACCCGTTATTTGTAGCCAATTACCTGTACTCTGTTGAAAAGAATAACCTGTACCTGGGTAAGAAATCATACTGTTAATGAGTACTTTTTAAAAATTCATTATGTTTCTTTGTATAAATACATGCTAAATTAGGCCTCAATGATGAAATACCTTAGAGAAATCGTGCCTGAGGGAAAATAGCAGCAGGATGTAGATGTTCTTGTGAAAAATAATACATTGATCCAATAAATCCACTTTAAGATATGTATGACTCAGTTACAAAGTTTTATCTTCTTGGAATTTTTAAATTTTGTTTTTGATGGAGCCACAGAAGTCACGTAAAGAGAGAAACGACTACCTGATAATGAATTCTCGGTGTTGCATTACTCTAGATTGGTTAGTCAATGGCCAGCTAAGCATTTACCTTGTGCGCCTATGGTGTACAGACTGCGGAGGAGGTCTGTAAAATAATTCAGAGGCATGTAAAAGAAACAGAAAAATAGACAGAAGATTGTCCTGTTTTTGAGTAGATTATGAACTAGTTACATATAGTGATGTGTTTAGTGTGACTATAAAGTAGGAAGACATTTTTTTAAAAATATATTTTATTGATTTTTTACAGAGAGGAAGGGAGAGAGATAGAGAGTTAGTAACATCGATGAGAGAGAAACATCGATCAGCTGTCTCCTGCACACCCCCCACTGGAGATGTGCCTGCAACCAAGGTACATGCCCTTGACCGGAATCGAACCTGGGACCTTTCAGTCTGCAGGCCGACGCTCTATCCACTGAGCCAAACCGGTGTCGGCAGGAAGACATTTTTATGTGTCGTTCATGGAACTGGGTTTCATTGTTATTTCAGTTATGATGTGCTACACAAATGCTAATTGTTACCATTAAGAAACTCAGAATTATTAATATTTTGTGAATATAAATTTCTGTAAGTGTATTTAAAAAGTAGTAATTATGGTCCAGAGTTGCTCAGTAGGTTAGAGCACTGTCCTGTGCACCGAAGGATAGCAGGTTCGATTCCCAATGAGGGCATATACCCAGGTTGCAGGTTTGATCCTGCTTGGGGTGCATACAGGAGGCAACCAATTGATGTGTCTCTCTCATATCGATGTTTCTCCTTCTCCCTCTCCCTTCCTCTCTCTCTAAATCAATAAAAACATATCCTTGGGTGAGGATTAAAAAAAAAGTAGTAATCATAAATTGTATTTTGACATATATTTAGAATGTATTTTAATAAAAATTTAGAATATACGTATATATATTTAAAACATGACACACATGCTGACTACCATTAAAAAGAAAATTTAGAGAGTTGTTTTAAAAAATTAGAAAATTCTCTGCTCATATGCTCTATTTTAGCTGACTCCTGAAGCTTATAAGTGTGGAGCACATGCTCTGTGACCTTTCAGTCCACTGCTGCTGCATGATTGCATAAGCTCTCCCTGCCTTCTCTGTGGGGAGCTCTCGCAGGGGTATCTCTTTGCAGTCCTCTTTCTGAAGCAATTTCTAAAGTTTGGAGATTGCATGGCAGACTTGACAGGTTTTTATGGGTTAAACCCTTGTTTCTCCACAGGCAAAATGAAGCAGTGGGTTAGTGATTATGAAATAACCAGATCACATAATCAATTTTTGTCTCAACTGCTTAGATAATGTAAGGTACCAGTTCTTAAGTTTTACAACGCATGAGAATCACATAGGGAGCTTGTAAAAACTGCAAATTTTAAAAACTGACCACTGGGTGTATTGGTTTGGGGACTCTTTGGAGAGACTCTGGAGCAGACCAATGTCAGACAAATAGCTCCCTTTCCTATCCTTGCTCCCCTGCTGTCTACTGCCCACGCTGGCCAGGCAGGACTGGTCCTTTTTAATGCTGTTGAACATCCTTTATAATCATTACTCTGAGCTCTATAGCTGATAGATTGCTTATATTCACTTTATTTAGTTTTTCACCTGGACAGTTCTCTTGTTCCTGCATTTGGGGCCTGGTTCTTTGTCTCCTCATTTTGGCTGCCTCTTTTTGTTTGTTTCTTTGTATTAGGTAGATCTGCTATGGCTCTCAGTTTGGGTAGGGTTGCCCTGTGGGTGGCCCTGTATCATAGGTGACCTGTGGGACCCAGTGGCATAGTCACCCTAATCACCTGAGCTCAGGGCTTTAAGAATGTCCCTTGAATGCATTATGGGGGCTTTCCTGTTGTAATTGAGTCGTGATTGCTATTGGCCCATTTGTGCCTGGGACCAACCCTCAGCCTGGCTGACAGTGAGACTCAACCCCCAACACAACATGCAAGCTGCTGTGCAGGAGGTGATCACATGAAGTGAAATTTGCCTCAGCATGGCCTAGTGCCTGCCGAGAACTCCCTGTGGAAATGCTTCCTGTGAAGCTTATTGGATCCTGCTCTGTTGTCTTCTGGAGCTGACCACTGGGTGTATTGGTTTGGGGACTCTTTGGAGAGACTCTGGAGCAGACCAATGTCAGACACTGTTTGTGACTGCCCCTGGGCAGTCTGTTTGGAGCTGTTAGCAATCCACAGATTGTGGCTCCTTCTATTGGGCCTGGTGCATGTGGAAAGGAACAAGCTGTGCACCAAGGCCTGCTTTAACTAGCACCAGAGCCCAAGGGAAGGTCAGGAAATGTTTCAAAGCACCCAGCGATCTGCCTCTGCCTGCAGGCTGTCTCTTAGGTTCCATCAGGTAAAGATCCTTTGGCTGTACTCATCAGCAGGACTTAAGCTCCACAAGGTGGGACAACTTGGATTCCCAATGGGTGGGACTGTTGCTCCCCCCCCGCCCCCAAGGCTGATGCTGCATAGAGGGGAATGCTCTGCCTGAGAAAGATGGCTTCTGCAGGATAGGGGAATGACTCAGCACAGGGATACTGGTGACTGCCCTCACAGCTCTCACCCCAGAGCCACCAACCCCAGACTCTCTTCATGTAGCTCTAGTCCTGAAGCCCAGTGTGAAAGACTGCAAATAAAATGTTGTGTATTGGCCCTTTAAGAGGCAGACAGAAATTCCTCTGCTTTTCACAGTCAGATTTTATGTAGTCACCTTTTCCAGTTCTGGTGCTTTGGGTTGGGGAAACCGCCTTGGGGTCTAGACTCCAGGCTTCTCAGGGGGAAAACCCCACAGCTGAGCTATTCCTCCAGAACTTCAGTTGCCATCCCTGGGAGTCTGGCCAGCCTTCTTGTGCCTCCACACTTCCTACTAGCCTTGATGAGGCCTCCTCTGCAAGTCCTTGGTTATAGGTTTCTCTCCAGCTAGTCTTCACTTGGTTATTCAGGATGAGCTTTCTATACTTCAGTTGTAATTCCAGTTTGGTCCTGGGAGGTGAGTGTAACTTCTACCTGATTCATCACCATCTTGGATGGTTATGCATTTATGCATATATGTTCTTTGGTTACTCTCTCCCATTATTTTAAATTAATTTTTATAATTGAAACTGTTTTCATTACAAGCAATTTGCATGGCCTTAAGGGAAACGTACTTTTGTGTACACACTAAAACTGATTTAGGGCACTGGATTTTTTTTTTTTTTTTTTTTTTGTCTCTCTAAATGACAGCAAGTTTAAAATAGTTTAATCTTAAATAATTTTGCCAAGATTTTTCCTTTCTGCATCTTTATTCTATTGGGTTTCTTTTTTCCCCCAATGTATATAGTTTAAGGCTTTATACATTTTGAATTGATCCTGAAAGAAGCTGGTCTCTGGCAGTGACCATAGCATTTAATTGGGCTACCTCCAGGGCTCACTTTGTGTAGAGATCCTATTTCTAAGCAATTGATTGGCCTTTAAATTGGGGCCATAACTATTTCTTCCTTTTTAACTTTTGTATTTTGAGTTATGCATGGTTCAAATGCCAACATTTAAAAGAATAGCACAGCTTGTAAATCATACTGTATAAGATGTACAGCTCTGAGCAGAAGATGGCTGTGTGAAAGGCATTTTTCTGAGATGACACTCCTGAGGGTGAAGCCTCATTTGAAAACATATGAAAGAATTAGTAGCTAGTAGAGGAGCAACGAAAGGGGTGAGAGTCTTAGATCCCTGCTTCCCAAACTTTTCCATTGGTGAATCCTTGAAGGTCAATAAGAGAGGAACTTATGCTTCCAGAAAAGCAAGAGCTAGAGTGGAAAGGCCTGCCTTAAGCCTTATGAGCTTTTAATTGTTTGAAGTTACCCACTTTAGTTTTTAATTTATGGGAATTTTCTCGTTGACTGCATAATATAATGGCTGGCTTTACTCTAATAAAATCTTATTTTCAGATATGAGTGAAATTGATGCTCCAGGACTGACAGCATATTCACCCTGTGATTTTGAGTGCCCATCGACACCCTGCAGCTGTGGAGTGGGGTGGAGAATAGAGAAGCGTTCTGAGAAACAGTTTTTGATGAAAATTAGAAGGCAGATATTAGCAGGGGTGCCTGGTACACATAAATAATATAGCTGTATGGGAATAATAGACAACTCCAAGCCTGTATTTGCTGATTTCTTTTGTCAAGGCAGGTGATGTAAATGAAAAGGACAAACAAATCAGCAGTAAGACACAGTTGTCTAGGAGAAAAATGTAAATTACATCTGGAGTACTGAGAAAGAAAGCAAATTGAAGATCATATAATCATTTATTCTGCCTGTGAGCAAAATAGGACTTAGACTGGCTCAGAATGATCTATTTCTTCTTTTTAGAGTACACCCTTATTCCTGAGTTAAAACCAAAAACAACAACTCACTTCTCTTTAATTTTAGGAAAATTAGAAAATATAGAGAAACAAACAAATAAATGACATCCATGATCCCACCATATAAAGATAATAGATATTAAACCATAGTGAATATCCATGGATTTTTTTTTCTTTGCATCTATAGATATATATAACAAAATGGGGAGGGGGTGAGTCTTATTATAACATGCTTTTTTTCCCACTGAATAATATCAATATCTTTGTTTGCCAATAAATAAATACCTTTGCCATAATTTTTAATTTTTAATGGTTATATTTTATTA